TAATTTTTTTTTTATATTTATCAAACCATCAAATTTAATTTCTATTTTAATTTTATATCTAATTAAATCTGATTAAATAACCGTAATATTCAAATAGTAATCGCTTTTCATTGCAATTCATTATTCAGCACATGAGCGCCATCTATCGCATAAATGAGTCGTTCATAAGCAAAAAGCTGTACGAGCTTTGCTTAGTTCACAAAATGGCCAACGCGGCGTTTTATAAGCCACACGCATTTATTAATCATACGCCCCATAGCACACACAGCTAATTCGAGTTAGATTCCTGGAAAAATAAAATTAACTCTTAATTAATTTTAATTAATGAAAACGACGTTTGCTTCAAATATTTAGTATCAATCTCATTAGCTCGTTCTTTATCAACTTTAAGGAGCTCTGCTCTGTTTCACATTTAATGCCAGTGCACACAAGCCGTGCACCCACCTACACACACACACACACAAACACACAAACACACACACTCTCACTCACTTTCGCCTCGCACGCCAGACGCAACACTTGACTTGCCACGCCCCAGTGGCGCCGCCCCGTGTGTCAAGTCATGCAAAATGTCGACGGCGGCGTCTGCCCTGGTGGTTGGGGGTGACGGGGGGCTATTAGCACGCAGCAGTGCTGGCAAAAACAAAGCGCATACTTTGACGCATGCCCTCCTAATGACGACCACGAGAATGCTGCATAAAGACGACAACAACAACAGCAACAGCAAGAGCAACGACAACGTGGACGCGCCAGCTGCCCCAGTGGGGTCACGACTTTGTTCCTGTTCAGCTGACTTTAGTAGCTGCTTTTTTTTATATATATATATATTTTTTTTTTGCTCCTCTGCTCCTTTTTTATTTAACCTCTTTATGTGGTGCGGGCGCAGGGTGTGGGTGTGTACCATTGTGCCAACAACTGCATGCAGTAGCTGCCGTTGGAGCAGCAGCAGCAGGAGCAGTCGTCGCAGGTGAAAACCCCAAAGTGCCCCAGGACAGTGCGAAGTGCTGAGTCAAGTGTCAACTGCAAATGACATTTGCATTTCGCTGGCTGCCCGGCTGCCCGGCTGCTGTTGAGGGGGTGGTGGTGCGCCAAGTGGCGCGCTGCTTGGTTGGTCGGTGGCTACGCGTCAACTACGGCTGACATTTTTTTAGTTTTTCTTCCGCTTTGCGCCAGCCATTTGGCAGTTCGTTGTGTTTCCTCTAGCAAAGAGAGAAAAAAAAACACAAGAAAAGTAAATAAAAACTCGCGAGAGAGTGAAAAAAAAAATTGAGAAATATGCAACAACAACAATTACAGAAAAATGTCGCTGTGGAAATTTAAGCTGTCACGAGCTCTGCTAATACTTGGGCCACGCATTTGCTGGCTACCCTAAATGGGTGTTGCCAAAGCCGCGCAGACCTTGGCCAATTGCGCCAGCTCAAAATTCTACTCAATGGGGATTTCTATGAAAGAAAAGTAAAGTAAAGTAAAGAAAATAAAATAAAATATTAAATATTAAATATTCAGTAAGAAGCTATTTACGTTTTTTTTGGATATAGTTCTTTGGCATCATAAATAAAAAATAAATATGTAATTCAATTATTGCTGAGCTCTACCCCAGACAAAGCTCTGTAGTTGAGGCAATTTGTGTTTATATTTCTGAAATTTTACTTTCGCATCTTTATGCTTTTATTTGCAGCTTGCCTTGATGCCATGTTGCACTATTTTCTTACAAATTTGTGCATTTAATTTGAGCATTAACTCGTTTAGCCGCTGCTCCTGCTGCTCCTGCTGCTCCTGCTGGTGCAGCTCCTGCTGCAGGTGCCTCGGCTGGTGTAGTTTTCATTTTGGCAAGACAAGGCATGTTGAGCATGTATTTAATTATGTTGCACAGTGTTGGCTGCGTTTTAGGTTCTTAAATAATTGCCACCTCGGCCAGCTACAGCTACAGTGAAACCATGTGTGTGTGCGCCTCACCAGTCAGCTTGTTGCTGCCACCGCTGCCACAGCCGCTGCTGCTGCTGTTGCTGGCAGTGGTCTAACCTCGACTCAGCAGCTCTTTGTGGCTGCTTGCCACATGTTTACTTATTTTCAACATACATAATTACATTTTCATATGCAGAGTAATTAGTGAGCTGTTCGCTCGTCGCTCTTCGGTCTATACAGCAAAAGTCTAGACTCGTTCCGTTTTGTTTTTATGGAAATGCGTGACTCTGTGTTTGCATGTGTGTGTTTGTGCGTGTGTTTGTGTGTGTGTGTGTCCAGCTGCTCTTTGGCTTCGTGGAACGGTTCATTTCATTAACGCACAACAACAGCGAATTGATTAGGTTGCGCCAGCCCCTCCTCTCCCGCCGCCCAGCACATCCAGCAAACTGCTTAACGTTCCGCTCGTCCCCCATCTCCGCCTGCTGCGAATGGGTCGTAATGCAATTGCATCCGACAATATGCAAATTAGGCGAACCTATGCGACTCACTGCAGCTGTGAGCGTTCCAAATGCTAAATTGTGGGCATAAACTACATTAGCACACATTCCCCAGGCTTCTTCCCGAATGTTGCAGCATGAAAACCGCCCCCGCCCCTGCCCCTGCCCCTGCCCATCCGCCCATCCCCAATTGCCAGCTGCTGTTCTGCATAAGTGGCAAGTTAGTTGCTTGGCAGCACGCTTTAAATTGCTAGCGATTTGTCTGCCCTGAAAGCATTGGGCATTTCAAAAGGGGGCGTGCTGCTGGTGCTGGTGCTGGTGGGCGTGGCGTGGCTGGCAAACAAATGAGTTAAGTTAAGTTTAATATGAATCGGTATAGATAGCAGAGATAGCAGCAGCTGCTCAACGAGTCTAATTCACTCTGCCACGCCCCGAGTGGAGGGCCGCCCACAATTGTCTTATCTAATGCGATTACGGCGGCAAACCCAATTTGCCAAAGACTCGTAGGATGATTATTGATTATCGGAGCATATCGCATTACAGCCATGGAGTCAAA